CCTGCCACCTAGTGGGTAACTTTGTCAGTAAATGCAACATTGTAAGATTTAGTCAGTCTACGCAGCTGCAAGCAGGTGTCTGCGCTAGTGATGGTGTCATGAGCTTGGTTTATCAAGGGCTACCGCATTTAGGGTATACAATTAAAGCTCTTCTCGCAATCATCGATGTCTTGAGGAGGCGGAAAAAAAAAAAACCAATTCGGATAGCTTCCGAAAGCTCGTGTCCTCGAGGAGCCTCAACTAGGTAACCTCTACGTGTTTGCGTCATTTTAGCTTTAGCACATAGCATTTTAAAAGTACTGGTTGCATATTGCAGAGCGTAGGGGAGGAGGGGAGGCGGGAGGGGGGGGGGGGTACATTCGAATAAGTACTTGCAGTACTTAGGACTAAGTATTATAAAGGGGAGGCGATTCTGGAGCAATTTATGTTCTCCCTGACGCTTCTCCCCTCTCTTGGGCTTGGTTTCCCCGTCACGGCCGTCGGCCCTTTTTTGTATGTCCCCCGTACGACCATAAGCGCCCAAGGATGATCCTTCTCTAGCCGAATGGTGTGCCACCTTCATGGGTGGCATTGACGTAGGATCTACAAAACAGCACCACGAATAAAAGCCATCAGGTAGTTTTGCTCTGGTTCAAGGAGACCCGTCGATAAATACAGCCTGCCAGGAAACTTATCTCATTGCTTGAAGCGCTGTCAGATTATCTTTCCCTTCAGTATGAACAAATGGCCATTGTCTGAATCTCTTCAAATTTGATTGCGCTAAAAATCTCTTTCATTGAAATTGGTAACTGTAAAAGCTTATTCGTGCAGGGGAACGGTCCGGTATAGCAGGATAAAGTGTGGTTATCGATCGGGTTAGCGTTCTAGCCGACGCGGACAAGAGATCTCGAGTTCTGTACATCGCAGGATGTACGGAATGCGAGATCACATTAAAGATCGGGAGCACTCCCAACAAAAATTGAATATCTATCAAAGGAATTCTTATATTGGCAACATTTTTCGCCAATTTTGCAAACAACGACCTTGCAAGTTACGAATGTGGCTAAGACGAGCAGTTGAGGAAGAAGCGAAATGAAGGACGAAGCGGACAAGGAATATGATAAGTTATCGCATGTTTGTACATTGGAATATTGGTGACCCCTCCCATCTCTTCCGGAACCCAGCGAAATCCAGGTCTTCGAAAAACTTTTCAGATCATACTTCTTACTCGCTGGAACGACAACACCTTCACTGAAAGTCTCATAATAAAGTCCATGCGAATACAACCACAATAGTGCATCCCGTCACCTTCCCCTATGTAAACCGAAATGCAAAAAACTAACCTTTCAAAATCATCTCGAATCCTCGGATCGTCTCCTCGAGAGATACGAACTTTCCGGCGTGACCAGTGAACACCTCAGCGACTTGGAATGGTTGGGAAAGGAAACGTTGGATCTTTCGGGCTCGGGATACAGTCAGCTTGTCATCTTCAGACAACTCATCCATACCAAGAATAGCAATGATATCTTGAAGAGACTTGTAATCCTGAAGAATCTTCTGCACTCCTCGAGCAATATCGTAGTGCTTGTGTCCGACGATGTTGGGATCCATAATACGGGAGGTAGAATCGAGAGGATCGACAGCTGGATAGATGGCCAATTCAGCGATACCACGAGATAACACAGTGGTAGCGTCCAAGTGAGCGAATGTGGTGGCAGGAGCAGGATCAGTCAAGTCATCGGCGGGTACGTAAATAGCTTGCACAGATGTGATGGATCCCTTGGTTGTGGTGGTGATACGTTCCTGCATGCTACCCATATCGGTAGCCAAGGTTGGTTGGTATCCTACAGCAGATGGAATACGTCCGAGAAGAGCAGACACTTCCGAACCGGCTTGTGTGAAACGGAAAATGTTGTCAATGAACAGAAGCACATCTTGTCCTTCTTTGTCACGGAAGTATTCGGCAACACTCAATCCAGTTAAGCACACACGAGCACGGGCACCTGGAGGCTCGTTCATCTGACCGTACACCAATGATACCTTTGAGTTGTTTCCCTAAAAGCAGCGATTTTCACAGAATCACAAACCATGAGTAAGAAGCAAATGTTACCTTCAGATCAATAACACCTCCTTCAATCATCTCATGGTACAAGTCATTACCCTCACGAGTTCGTTCTCCGACTCCTGCGAACACAGAGTAACCTCCGTGGGCCTTGGCGACGTTGTTAATCAGCTCCATAATAAGCACAGTCTTTCCTACTCCGGCACCACCGAAAAGACCAATCTTTCCTCCTTTCGCGTAAGGTGCGAGCAGGTCGACGACCTTGATTCCAGTTACTAGAATCTCTTGCTCGACGGACATTTCGACGAACTCGGGTGCTTCAGCGTGGATAGGGGCGCGGTGCTTCGCGTTGATAGGGCCTCGTTCGTCAATTGGCTCGCCGATGACATTCATAATGCGGCCGAGAGTCTCAGGACCGACAGGGATCATGATTGGATCTCCGGTATCAACAACTTCTTGACCACGGACAAGTCCCTCAGTTCCGTCCATAGCAATGCAACGGACAACATTGTCTCCTAAAAAAGACTGACACTAATGAAAAACAGCAGATTCGACCACATTAAAAACGGCTTACCTAGATGTTGAGAGACTTCGAGAATGAGCCGTGGGGAGCGGCCTGTGACTTCGAGACCATTAAGGATTGGAGGCAGGTTCTCTTCGAACTGGACGTCGACAACAGCACCAATAACAGCGACTATTCTTCCTTTTGATCCGGAAGCAGCGGCAGTTTTCGAGATCTATATTGTAATAAGATGAAGAAGTGCTTAAGCATGAGCGGAATGTTCAAGGAGTGTCTAAGGATGCCTTTACGAAAAAAGGCTACGAGACTTGGAAAGTGGGCAGTAGTCGCAAGCAGCAGTCCGCTTTCATCTACGGGCTCTGCTTTCAGTAAAGAGCGCGATATAGAATGGAACACAGCGAGTGGGTGTAGATGAAAAGTGGCAAGCTTTGTAGACGTTTCAAAAGATTGAGCAAAACGGCTCAAAATTCAGAGAATCTGTAGAAAGGAGTGGACGCGCATCGATACAAGGCTTCACAAATTCGCGAATTTTCCTAAAACGCTTAGAGATGAGGTCAAAACCGTCACGTATTTGAACCTTTCCCCGATCCCCATTTCACTGACCAGCTGAATTTTTTACTCTTACGTGTCCATTGTTTTTTTTTTTCTTGCAAATTCAATGAATACCTCTAACCTTGCGCACGCCGTTGAAATAAAATATAAGCACCGCTAACCTAAGAAGAGACATGTTGAACCAGAGGGCCCGAGACGAGTTAGGTGAATAAGATTTCTGCCTAGGCCTAGATTGGAGGAAAGTTGGGATGCGTGAACCACTTCCCAAGAAATGCAAAACCCTTCCACAAGAAAACTTGCACATCCACTCCGGAGCTCCTTCCCTATAGTAAGTCCTGATTGCTCCTTCAAACCATCCAGTATCAACGCCGCACAACATAAAAATACAAAAAAATGGCGTAGGAATGAAGGCTGTGGTGTTCCCGACCATCAAAAAGAACTCATTTTACAATATTAGGTTCTCCATTGTCCGCACAACTTATTGTAAGCACCGGAACGCCCTTCCTTCGACAGACTGGCCTTTGATAATATACATTGCCATGTTTCTTGCACTATCACTGCTAAAGTTAAGTTATTATCGCAACTTACCGCCGCCGCCAGGGCTCTAGAACTCTCACAGGTAGATGCCGATTGAGGCAAGCGCCGACATTCCCCCAACGTAACGCTCATTTCTTCCATTCAAACTTCTAATCAGTCCCGAAGGATTGATTAGGCACACTCTCTGTTCTGCCTAGTCTCAAAGCGTGGTTGTGTGTGTGTGCAAAGTTGATTTTCTTTATTGCAATCGATTCGCTAGCCCTTGACAAAAGGAAAAGAGTGTTCTACTTCTAGGGGAATGGAAGAGTAATGCATTAAGATTATGAAAAAGCGGTGCAATGTTAGTCAGGAGGCATGGGTATTCTCTGACCACGGTAGGCGCGAAATGAACGTGGAATGGTATTCACTGCCATGTAACGAGACACTATGAGAATAACTCGCACATCCCAGCTTCTCACGCTTGTCAAATAATTCCGCTCAGCCACCACCCCTGAGTTGGCTGCACTCCCCCTGGCTCACGAATTCCCTTACTTCGCACTGAAAGGCGCGAAAGTCCTTCGGTCCAGAAAGGCTATCTATCGATTCTCGTGACATCATAGCAATGGAGACTAGGCCCCACTGTATCTTTCGCATCCACGATTATTTAAAAAAAAATCAGTGTACCCTTCCGACGCGGTCTACTTGAACTTGTTCTTTGGAACCCTTCATTAAGGTGCTCTCGCTGAAACAACGGCTCATGACTGCTGTGATCTCACATGTTCGAAGTTTTGCTACACTTGCTCTTCCTCTAAAGTTCCCCTCCCCTCCAAGGCTTAGCCTTGACGTTCTCAGCTTCCTCCTTAGGATTTGGAGCCGAGCCAGGCTTATTCCCCAATCGTCTGTGCTCTAGCCATTCGGGACAGGACCATAGAAGAGAGCTCAAGTAATCCGTGATTCCCCACCCGACTAGCACTGTACAAAAAGATCTTAATAAAGGAAAGTGCGAAAAAAGGAAGAACGCCTCCCGAGGTTTACATGGGTTAGACACTATAAACGCAGGAAACAAAGATGGGAATTAATCAAAAAATGGAAAGAGTTGATTGTGATGGAGCTAGGATTAAACGAAAATACATCTTCGAAGGGGATGACAAAATCGAGCATAAAATATGACGTACACCCTTGTCAGCCTGAGCTTGCGCCTGAGCCACGACGGAAGAATGAACCCCTCTCTTATCGACGGTGTTCGAGCTGTGGCGCACTGGAAAATATCGAAATGAAAACTCATTCAAAAAAGTTTGCAATCCAACAGAATTAGTGACAAATGGAAACCAAAACTAAAAAGAAACAGAACGGAAAGCATGGAAAAATGTAACGCACCACTGGCAGCAGCAGCTGGAAGTACAATCCTCTGCAGATTAGATTTTAACAGGCGAGCCGTGGCCGACCGACCAACCTGGGCCAGCGATCGCGAAGCCATTCTTTGTACCCCTGAAAAGAAATCTGCATCTGACACGAGAAGAAAATTGGAGGACGCATTTGAAACAAGTTGTGTTTGCAAAAAAATGGAAATTAGGCACCCTACCATTACAGCCCCAGAATTCCAAAATTTTATTTTTCGTCAAAAGATCATAATCATAATTCGGGTGTGGTTCATTAGGACAGAAAGCGACTTTTTCGCGTTTCGCAGCGCGAAACATCGTTCGTTGCAGGAATCTCGGGTCCACTGACGACCAGCGGTGAACCTGAGGTTCCAGCAGCGGAAAATTCTCGCACTGCAAGTGCGAAACCGTCTTTTGTGTCCCTACGAAACCACACCCTTATAATTGTAGGTCATGATAGCAAAAATGATATTCATTTTTGACGCTGGCGCCATTAGGCTGGTGTCAGAGTCCGCGATCCGTCGCAGGTTTCGCTGATTTTCGCGACTTGCGCGATTCACGCGACGGGTCACGGAAATCACAAGTGCCGACAATCAATACTGCAAGGTGTTCTCCCAATCCCGCCGCCACTTCTGCTTGATAGTGAAGAGCTTGAACCGACGAATCCCGCCTCAAATTCCACTTGATTCGCACTATCACTGTTTCAAATGTTCAACAGAGGCAATTGGCAAATTCCTGCGACCCGTCGGCAGTTTGCACACTTGCAGCAAATCGCGGAAATCGCGAAAAAATTCAAGCGACAAACTCCCGACGGATCCGAACCCGACCCACCAGCCTTAGCTTAACTCTTCGTGATCGCCATTCTACATCTCCCAGAAAAAGTTATGCTGTAAGAAGTGTAGACAGGGGTTACTGTGGTCCTGATTATGAATATGATCTCCATTTTAGCACTACTGCCATTGGCGCCTGTATACAACTTGTTGTTTGCGCCGACTCACTACTTAGATCCCGACCACATTTTGATCTCAGGCACTTTAATTTTAGCTACACGGTGTATCGTTTACCTACCCCAGAGTCCCCTCTCCTTATGCCTAGCCTAGGATATCAAGTGAGAGTCGAAGAGAGCAGTGATCTGCTTCAAACAGCACTAATGCCAAAACGAATGTCATATTCGTAATCAGAACACCAAATACAGACACAGATTTTGTCCGCAAATTGGTGACAACCACCAACGTACTTGAGAAGTGGCCGCCGCGCCAGTTTACCAAGCCAATAAATATATGCACTCTCGTAATCAGGGTAAACCTTCGACGAAACATTGAACCTTTGAAATTTTGGAGTTGTAATGGCTGATTAGCACCGAAATTCAGAGTGAACAGAAGTATACAGTTAAAAATGTCATAGACAGAATCGAGAGCAGGAACCAGGAAAGCAAGCAAGAAGAATTGCCGCAGCAAGAAAACACAAACCTATGGCGTATCCAACACACAGCTATCTCCCACCAAAGGCAAGCGTTTCTCGCTACTCTGCACAACCTAGTCATATCGTTAACAATGAATACCTCAAATACTGCTGGGCTCTTAGAAATCAATCAAATAGAAGCAGCTTCTGCACGAAGAAGAGATCCGCACTCTGCGACGACACCGTACTCCATGCCGCCCGTACACTGCAATAGGCGTGTGTCCTGCCAAGCGAAACGGCTGCACAGACTCTTTGGCACCGCATCGCAAATGTTTGCGCACGTGAAATTTAGGCCACCCGGCAGAGTCTGGCTCTCGTCTTTATGTAGTGTGCTAATGAAAGTGTGTTTCGGGGACTTCATGTCAGGATCAACCGCTCGTTCGGAGACCGAACGAAGGGGTTCACACGTCGCCGATTTGCGTAGACGAGGGTCGCTATTGAGTTAAGTCAAGGTTATCAATAGCGAGTGTGCGGACCAAGGGTCAAACCCTACCCCGCCTGGACAAGTCCAACGGGGTCGTACTGGTTAGCTTGGAGGGGGCGACCCACTTTAGCCCTTGAAATACGTTGTAGGACCTTGAGGTGAAATCTAAGATTTCGTGGAGTAAGGGAGGGAAGTGGAGGGCGGAGGTTTGGTGAGTTGAGTGGTATCAGAATTAAGTACTATAGAGACGATGATGGTGGTCGAGGTGTCGAAAAGGGGGTCGTATCAAATCCACCTTGGGGGAGGGGGGTCGTAAAAATTTTTCAGAAAGTAACAACGATAGGACCGACCCTGGTTGGAAGCATGATGAACTTCTTAAAGGCAAGATTCAAGCTTAAACTGATGAGGTAATTCTACTCAAATGTGATGTAGGAGTGGGAGGTGGACCGCCAGTGGAGAAAAAAGGAAAAAAAACGTGAAATACACAGGAAATACGAGCCTTTTGCTCTACGTTGCGGAGAAGTTCAAAAGGCCGGCAGGGAGATGAGAGATAATGTGAGCGCGGAGAGCGGTAGAGAAATCCGAGAAGAGAGAGCATAGCAGATCAGCATTGCGACGCAGACAAAATATCGAGCGGTGGGCGGAGCGTGTCGCGGCAGGAGGAGCGTGTCAAAGTCCTTGGCCCCTAGCGCTTTAGTGACGCATTTCGATGCGGGGTTTTGGCGAGTCGCTTACAGTTGTCCCATGCGCTTCTAGCCACTTTAAGGGCTCATTAGGTGGGTCTGAGCCCGAACTTTGCCTTTAACAGGAATCTTCAGGCCGGTTTTCCGGCGATTGTGCAACGTTTTATTCTTGCTCCAATTTGCCTGCATTCATGGTGCTAGTTACTCCTTACCCCCTCCCCCCCCCCCGCTCGACGGCTGTTTTGGAGGAAAAGTGGGCGGTTGGGCTGTGTCGACTGGTCTCAGGTCAAATACTATGGGAACAGCCATGATGGTGAGGGTGGTGGTCCGAGAAAGGGAAGGGAGATCGTATTGGGGAAGCTTTTTAAGATTGATGGGGGGTCGTAAAATTTTTGAAAAAGTGCGAGTGTGACGGTTGACCATGGATAATTCGCTATTTTAGGAAGGGGGTCGCATTTGCGGTTGACTAAGTTGCCATGGTTGGGAAAAGTGCGAACGGTGGCCGTGTTTGTGGAAATTAAAGGGTGGTGGAGCGGGAGGAGTGGGTCGTTCTTGACAGGTTTTTCGACAATTTTGGCGAAAAATTCATAAAAGACGCGTAAATGGGTGAAATCGGAGGGTTTGCTGCTTCAGTAGGGATACCGGCTCGTCCCAGGGCTCGACGGTCGTTACGGAAGGAAAATGTGGGCGGGCTGGGCTGTGACGATAGGTCTTAAATTAGATAAGGTAATAAAAACAGCCATGAACGCGAGGATGGCGGGTTGTTGGGGGTAGGGGATGTTGTTGAGGAAGCTTTTTGAGGCTAATGGTGGTGATGGTAATCGCATCAAACCATCCCAAAGAGGGGGTGGGGTCGCAGTAGAAAGTTCGGTATTAATTGGAAAGGGATTTTTGTAGACCTTAAAGGCAAACTCCGGGATCAAACTGGTGCTAAAGCGCTTCGTAGTGATAGCTTAGCTGCGGAACGACCTGAAAGTGGAAAGGAAAGCAAGAGAAATCTTTGGGAACGCTGAAATTAAGGCCTTAACCTTCAATAAGGTCGGATGTGGTACGATGGCGAGACAGGGCGATCAAAGAAGGAAAATACGCGAGAGAGCACGTCGTTTGAGAGAGCACGCTGATCTC